CCCGAGACCCTCGGCCCTTCTCCAGGCCACCCACCCTGCCCGGGGCCAGAACCCTGGTTTCCCCCAGCTAGAGAGGCCCTTGTGCAAGAGGGAGACCGAGGCTGTGGCGCCCAGCAAGCCTCGCCGCAGCAGCGTCAGTCCCCAGCCTGCTCCCCCAGGCCCTGCCGGCCCCTCTCCTGATGGAAAGCTCACTTTGCCCCTCTGTCGCCTGGACCGTCCCCCCCCCACCCCATTTCAGAGGGGCTGAGGGGCCCCAGCCTGGACCAGCCAAACAGATTTGACCTGCAGTTCTGGGGTGGGCGGGGATGAGGCCCTCCTTAGACCTGCCCGGAGTCGGCCCTCCCTTGACTCAGCCTGAAGGACGGAGGGGCTCAGGGGTAGCCCAGGCAGCATCTGGGGGGACGCAGGCTCCAGGGTGGGTGGCGGGGGCAGGGGTGGCAGGGGCAGGGGGCTAACACCCAGTGATGCATAGGTGCTGCACCAGGTGAGGGGTGGCCTTGGGCATGGGCCTGAGCTGGAAGAGGGTGCCCCCAAGCTCTGAGCCTCAGCCAGCCAGGGAGAAGAGAGCCCCCAGTGGTGTGACCCCGTGGCTTGAGCCGACCGCCAGCCTGTCACTGTCACGTGGGCCCTCTGTTCTTCAGCCCTCACAGCCCCACCTTTTGCCCATCCAGAGCCCCACAGCTGCTCCCAGGGTTTTCTGGGGGACACAGGACCACAGCTTGAAGCAAGCGTCTCAGCAGTTGTGTTCCCTGGGTCTTGGGGCTGGGACCCTGAGGGCGGGCGAGGGCATGAGGTCTGGGGGACTCTGGGGAGTGGGTCGCAAATGCGCGCCCTTCTCCACAGCGGCGGAAATCGCGGTACGCAGAACTGGACTTTGAGGTGGGTCCGGGGCCCGAGCGCGCTGTGCCACCTGGGCAGGGGGAGGCCGGGACGGAGCCCCTTGGCTTCCTGGGAGCTGGGGGCTGGGTGAGGCCCATGTCCCGAGGGCCGCCTATATCCCGAGGGCCCCGTCCCCCAGCACTCGCCGCCTCTCCTCCCTGCAGAAAATCATGCACACTCGGAAGCGGCACCAAGACATGTTCCAGGACCTGAACCGGAAGTTGCAGCACGCGGAGAAGGACAAGGAGGTGCTGGGCCCTGACAGCAAGGTGGGCTGGGCGGGGTAAGGGGCGGGGTGGGGCAGGGCAAGCGAGGGTCGGTGGGGCTTGGTGGGCAAGGCCAGTGGGGCGGGGCATGCAGGAGGGAAACGGAGGAGGGGCGGGGCGGGACGGATGGGTGGGGCTGGTGGGGGGCGGGGCCCTGGGCTGCCGGCGGGAAGGAGGGAGAGCCAGCGGTGAAGTTGCCTTCTGTCTTCCTTCGGCCCCAGTTCTGTCCACTGCATCCATTATTTCATTCTGCGCTGGCCAGCTCATGCTAGGGACACGCAGAGGGGTCTGTCCCGGGACGGGCGGCCATGTAAATGTCTGTGGCTCCGCTGGGGCCCCGGGGCTGAGGCACCAGGTC